TCAAGATATAATTTGGCTCGACTTGTGTGCTTTTCTGTACTGTTTGCTCTCTACACATCATTTCAGAAATGTAAAATAATGGGCATCTCAATCAAAGGGTGTTTTCCAGCCAACATTTACTGCCAAAACTCACCATATGTTCCTTCTGGGGGCGGAGGTAGTGGAACAGTGTATTAAAGCAACTCCAGCAACCTTTTCCTGGATGGAGTCAGTAAAAGTTGCTCGTCTCCTTTTGATGAGTCACATGGGTTGAGCTTCCCAGACATATTTTTTAACACCCCTACCTCTCTGCAGGGATGTGGTGTAGCCTACTGCTATGTAAAAAACACCTACAGGTTCCAGATGGTTGAGAAACGTCATTGAATGCACAATGTGTAAGAGACGTGTGAGATGGAGCTGCAGCGTGACCCTCATCTACATCAAGTCTCCCTGATCTGATCATGTCGGCACCTGCTGTTTAGATACAAGATCTAAATCTGGTTCAGTATTAAGCCTTGAGATGATGACAGTATTTTTCTTAGCAACAATTGACACCACTGAAAAACATGGCAACACTTTGCTTAGAGAAACAGAATCTCGCTGGTAGCTACAACTGTAGTTATGAAATTGGACACTTGTGAGTTAATGCAGGGTGATTCACGCATGGGACTATTTTCACAGAGACGGCTCTCTGCTCATCACTTCAATAGAGATGTGTTGATTTCATGGCTCTAAGCTTTTTGTGTTGTTTCTCTTCTCATTTTGTAATGGAAGAACCCTTAGAATTTCCCACAGATTGTACAAAATACACTCTACCTCTTGTCTGAATAAGTTGTGCGACATATTCACAGCAAATCAAGCCTCTTTTGAAGGGGAGAGCCCCCCCTCCCTGTTGCTTGTTAGCCAGCCAGTGACTTGACAGTGTTTAATTGATTAAACTATGAATGCCTTCGAAGGCTCAGCTCCACCAAGAGCTGCAGAGCAAAGACAGCATATGGATGGCAGGCAACAGCAGAGAGCACCTAATCTCTAAAATGACTCACAAGTGCAAGAGAATATGGTGTTGATTATATAATTGTGTGCATGCCTACTCCAGTAAGTCTCATTGACTCAGGCTTTCATGCCGCACTCCTATCGTGTGTGTGTGTGTGTGTGTGTGTGTGCATATGACTTGTCTTACTAACAACCTCCTTCGCATGGAACTTTTCAACACAGTCTCACTCCCTGATCGTCAAAGAGCGACGCTTGGTCAGGGTCCTTTGGCGTGCAGTTGTGACGCACCGAGTCTCCTTCAGTGTGACCTTGCTTTCTTACAGTGCATACGCTTTTCTGCTTGCTCTTGCCTCTGCTTAATTTTTTATGCTGATTTTCCTATTTTTCTTTTCTGAAAACTTCGAGCAGCAGCTCCTGGACATTAACTTATCACTGGGACAGTTATTCTTCGTAAATAGACGGAGGGTTTCAGCCAAATTTCAATATTTTTACGACGACCTCAGTCTTACAGTAGCGTGGCCTAGCAACAGCTAAAGCCTGGTACTGCATGCTATTTAGCTTAAGCTAGTTGGTAGCAAAATGCCTCCGTTCTCTACAGATGACTTCCACAAACTTCTACAGAAGATGGCCGTGTTGGAAATGAAAATGCAACGGTTGGAAGTTAACGTGGAAGTGAATGGACTATGTGGGAATGACACCACTTTACCAGTGTTTCAAAAGAATGGAAAAGGGCATGCTAACTCACAGCTAGTTAGCAGCTACAAGGATTCCAAGGAACAGGAGGGCTGTGTACTGGGTAATAAATCTACAAGAGATAGTCCTCCCTGGAAATGTCTGGGTGCAAGGCCTAAGAGTAAATCATTTCCATGGGATTTGGGAGGACGAATAACAGGCAGAGCCCAGCGCTCTGAAATCTGTGATCGACAGGCTGGTCTGCATTGTTATCAACCAGTTTGTCAAGACCAAAAAGGGCAAGACTAGGCTGAGAGCAGATGCTATTCCCACCATCTTTGTGCATCGCCCTGTGGTCAAAAAGAGGAGGGCCCCTGCACCACGATGCACCCCGGGACCTGTAAATACAGAGCCCATAGCTGATGATCACAGCTATAGTGTGAAAGGTGACACAGGTATAATAAGTCTGAACTCTTAATAATAAAAGTAATATTTCTTATTTTTAAGTGGTATAATATTTTGAATGTTCGAAAATTAACAGTGCCATGTCTTCTTCTTACATTAGTCTCAAAAATTGAGGGAAGAAGGGATGAGTAGACTGAGAGAAGGGAAAGTGAGGGTGAAGAAAGAGAGGACATGGCTAGTGAGGAGAGACAGGGAGAGCGGACACCACCCAGTCAGCCAGCAGCCAGTCAGCATACCAGGGAACCAGCAGCCAGTCAGCATACCAGGGAACCAGCAGCCACTCAGCATACCAGGGAACCAGCAGCCAGTCAGCATACCAGGGAACCAGCAGCCACTCAGCATACCAGGGAACCAGCAGCCACTCAGCATACCAGGGAACCAGCAGCCAGTCAGCATACCAGGGAACCAGCAGCCAGTCAGCATACCAGGGAACCAGCAGCCAGTCAGCATACCAGGGAACCAGCAGCCACTCAGCATACCAGGGAACCAGCAGCCACTCAGCATACCAGGGAACCAGCAGCCAGTCAGCATACCAGGGAACCACCAGCCAGTCAGCATACCAGGGAACCAGCAGCCACTCAGCATACCAGGGAACCAGCAGCCACTCAGCATACCAGGGAACCAGCAGCCAGTCAGCATACCAGGGAACCAGCAGCCACTCAGCATACCAGGGAACCAGCAGCCAGTCAGCATACCAGGGAACCAGCAGCCAGTCAAACAGATCTATTAAAAAAATTAAAGAGACAAGAAGGAATCACCAAAAAAGCAAAGGCTGCACTAAGAAAAATAAGGAAGGAAAATGCAGCTCTCAAGAAAACAATGTGAATTAGGGACAACAAATTTAAGAAAACTTTTTCAAAAGACCAACTTAAGGCATTGGGCAGACTTACCACAAAGGGGATAAAATGGAGCAATGAGACAATTAAGAAGGCTTTAAAAATGTGCTTTGCTGCCAGACCAACCGGTTACAAAACTCTGCAGGAATTGCAGATTCCCCTGCCAGGAATAAGAACACTGCAAAGAAGAATGCAATGTGTTAAGTTTGAGCCTGGTGTGTTGACAGAGGTCTTTGATTTCCTAAAATTGAAGGCAGATAGATTGACTGACCTTGAAAGGGAGTGTGTGTTGACCTTGGATGAAATGCCAATCACACCAAGTGTGGAGTTGGACATGATTACAGGCAAACTGTACAGTGATGTGACTTTACCAGGTCACACAGGAGTGGCAACACATGCTTGTGTGTTTATGTTGGCTGGAAACACAACACGGTGGAAGCAAGTAGTGGCATGTCATTACACTCTGTAAATATAATGTATGATGTCCTTTATTGTTTTATGTTTCATGTGGAACCTATATGCTGCAGGTCTCCCTTGAAAAAGAGATCTATGATCTCAATGGGACCAATCTGGTTAAATAAAGGTTTGAAATGAAATGAAATGACACTGGCAATTCTACCAATGGAGCAGAGTACAGGCCAATCATTATTGAGGTAAGACAGAGGGCAGCATCCATAGGGCTACATGTGCTTGATGTCACCACAGACATGGGTAGCCCTAACCAAGCCATGTGGAAATCCTTTGGGGTCGACCAAAATAAAACATCGGTGCCACATCCAGCAACACCAGACAGGCAGCTTTATTTCATGCCCGATGTCCCACATCTGGTAAAAAATCTAAAAAGTGCCCTTGTCCGTGGACAGGTCTTCATAATTCCTGAGGATGTTGTAAACAGAGAGAACCGCCCCTCTAACGAGGTTTCAGTGGTCCCCATTAAGGACTTATTGACTTTCAAGAAGGGATGACATTAAAAATAGCTCCCCATCTTTCAGCTGCAGCCATCGAGCCAAGTCACTTTGATAAGATGAAGGTTGGTCTTGCTCTAAATGTATTCAGTAAGGCTACAAGTGCTGGGCTGAAATACCTGGTGCAGCAAGAAAACCGCCCTCTGTCCTACTTGACGACAGCATGGTTCCTGGAGCAGGTTGATCGTTGGTTTGATCTCATGTCATCTATATATATATTTTTTTTTATAAAATATTTTTATTATTTTATTGAATGTTACAAAACAAAAATGACCATGTTCACGTCTTAAAGTCATCCTGAAGCCTTAGTTTTGGTTTAAAATTACACAACATCATGTATGTGTTGCTTCTTTTGGGCTTGTTTTCATAGACCTGGTTGCTTATTTCTCTCAAATCTGGCAACAGAGTGGGCAGGGCGCAGTGTCTAATAGTAGCAGTAAGCTAACAAGAGGCTACGTTCAGCTGGTGCCTCGGGAGTCGGGACAGAGAAAATGTCAGGAGTTTGGAAGTATTATAAAATTTAAAGCGAAGGCAGTGTAACAGCCAGATGCAATGTTTGCAAGGCGGAGGTTCCGCGTGGTGGAAAGAACAGAGAAACGCCACCTGAGAAACAAACACCAACAACAACACGAGGAGTACACAGCGGCCACTCAGGTAACGGCACTGAAACAACCGACACTTTCAGAGACTTTTAAAAGGAAAGAGAAACTGCCCCAGAACAGTGAAAAGGCCAACAAAATAACAGCCAAGATAGCTGAATTTATCGCGTTGGATGACCAGCCGTTATCTGTTACCTTTTTTTTCTCTTAATGCATTGCATAAAGATCGGATCGGGAAAAATCGGTATCGGCAGATTGTCAAAATCAAATGATCGGATCGGGAGCAAAAAAAGGTGATCGGGACATCCCTACACAAGACTGCCTTGAAAATACCTTCAGCTGTGTGAGGTCTAAAAATCCTGTCCCAACTCCAGTGGAATTCCATCATGCACTGAGAATCATATCTGTGGGGCAGTTCCTCACCACCATCAGCTCTGGGAGCTACCAGAAGACCACAGTAGCTTTTTGGCAGACTTCCTGGACACAGTGGAGCAAAATATCACTCCATCAGTCAGAGTGGAACCGCTGATGGCGGTGAACAGAGCAGCACCTCACCTCACAAAAACTGAGAAATGTATTCTCTTCCATCTTGCAGGCTACATCGTCCACAAAGTCATCAAGTTTGCCAGCATCTGTGAAAAATGCAAAATTGCAACAGAGCACAATGATGAGAGTCCTTCTGGTGAAAACAGCATTTTAGTGAACTTAAAAGACTTCAAGGCAGGTGCTCTTTGTCGTCCCTCCCAAGAAGCCTTTGATTTCATTCACCAAATTGAGGAACTATTTAGGACCAAGACTGGTTCCTCCCTCATGCAGCTCCCCAACGCAGTGGGTGTCTTGGAGAAAGAAGCTCAGGCACTCTCCAGCAGGCTTCCGTCATGCTGTGGAGTACAAGACAAAATCATTAGAAGATTCATACGGCTGCAATGGAAATATTTGGACTAACCATTGCCCCTCCACCTGCCAGCACCACTGCTCCTCCACCTGCCAGCACCACTGCTCCTCCACCTGCCAGCACCACTGCTCCTCCACCTGCCAGCACCCAGCCAACATCCCTGCTCCTCCACCTGTAACATCACTGCCCCTCCACCTGCCATACAGTAGGTTACTAATATACACTAACAAGATTACTTATATAATACAGTGATAGAATACATGTTTAGTATGCTTACTTATATACAACAGTAGTATTAAACTTACCTTGTGTTTTCACTCTCACTTAGGTCCCTCTCCCTTTGCCATCATTTCAAAATCAGCTGAGCTGCAACATAATACAGACAGGTAATAATCAACAGAATACACTAAAAACACTCACCCATAAGTTACGTTTTTGTTTACTGTTTGGAAGTCTCAAATATGCCCTCTAAATTCATATCAATAGTGATGTATCACACAAATAGCTCTCTTCCTTATTATTGTGTAACGTTAACTTTATTATACTAGCTTGTAGGTCTACTCCAAAATGGAGATCGTAATTTCTCCACCTCCACTCATTACAATCACACGTGCCCCAATGTTATATTTAACTAATATTATATTCCTCCACCCCACAACAAAATCACGTTTAGAAGCCCTTTTTCTCTAATTCCACAATGAAATAATATTAGGAGAAAGGATTAATAGGCTGTTCATGGTTCACGTGTGTTGCTAACTTTATCCGGTATCCTAGCCTAATCTGTTATCTGTAAACGTTCCCTAAATCAGTAGATTATGGGATAATCCACTAACATCCTTTAATACACATGTTAATTTGACTCAGATGTGCTGATAATATCCGCAATATAAATCTTTAAACGTCTTCTTACCTTTAAAAGTCCATCACGAACGCTGCAACTCTGCTGCTAGCCGCAGATCGTGGAGCCTCTCGAGTCAATAGTCTCCCGGAAGTCAGCGGCAAGCTAACTTCCGGGGAGGCCAATAAGGAAGTGCCACAAACTGCAGTTCATCTATTGGCCGATAGGCGATGACTGCAGAAAGGATGAATTTCCATAGACCCCCATGGTAAAATGCCCAACTTTACAGCAGAAATAAACATGTTTCTACCCTTGGATGCAATACAAATTATTCGGGATATAGTTAGATTCCACCTTAATGATTATTAATTGTTGAGTGAATTGTTTAAATAACGCAACCCTTTTATTTAAATTAGGTCTTAACGTTTTTGCATAAATTAGGGCGTGGTCACTTTGATGGACAGGTACGTGCCTCACTGTCAGCTAACAGCAACTTGTCCCCTCTGCTAAGCTACAACGTTAGCTAGTTGTAGTTACTGTACTTGACCCTTTAGCCGTGTTCGTGGTGATTGTGCCTTTTAGGGAATGTTGTTACAAATACCAGACAATTAAAATGTCGTGCTGTGCGCTTGAATGTAGTAACAGAACTTCCAAGAAGTCTAAAATGATAATATTATACATGTTAACCCCGTTAGCAGGTGTTTGTGTGCTTGTTAGCTTAGCTTGTTATATAGCTTATTAGCCAGCTAAGGACGTAACACTTTATACATGTATATATATATGCATATACAGTTTAGTTTATGATTCAGCCTTGGGTAAGACTTTTATAGTCTATGGATATGACGTCCATAATGCTAAACGGGAGCAAATGTTAAAAGGGGACCCAATTATCCCAGTGGTGGCCGCCGGCTGGAGCTAGCCCCCTGCGGCTCCGTTAGCTCCGGGCGGTGGAGTCCGGCGTTATAACTGGAGATCAAGGAATGCAGCGAAGCGCGGACTTGGTTCGCCTGGAGCCCGCTGTAGTATTAGCTAAATAAATTATGTTGAACAAGGCTTATTAAGCTGAACATCGCCACAATTGTTCTGCTATGTATCGGTACTTATTTTATTTGATTAACGTGTGAATGACAAGCAAAAAAATAACAAAAAATAGCAAATTCTCTTGCAGATTGTCTCGTTTGATTATGAATGTAACATTTATATAGTGGAACTACACTGTTTTATCAAAACCAAAGTGCCACGCAGTAACTTGGTATGCATGTATTTCATGTTAGCTTAGCTAATTAAAAATCACTCGACCTGTAATGGCTCTCTAAATTAGGACCTTTTGACTTCGGATCGAAACCGGAGTTATCACAACTTAAGAGATAAGCGAGGATGAGTCAGTCACATTGCTGGTGTCAGCACTCTGCCCACATAAGTGTTTCCGGCATTCATGCAGTCCCAACTAATTGATATGTGTGAGAGAGTGGGATATGTTGATGTGCCAAAGTCATTAGCTGAAATGTGAGGAATAATCCTTTTGTTTTAGGGCCATAGGCCAAAGCAAGAGAGAGAGAGGCCTCATTGTGATTCTCCAGCCAACGGAGTCACAAAATGAAGTAAGCTCACTTGGACCAGATCCAGGATCTGTGCTTGGAAGTCAAGATCCCCTCAGTTTATCAGAGACAGGCATCAATATCCGCCAGGCAGATTTAAATAGGTACACAGATCATTTAGCAAGCCCTCAGGACTCAGTGTGAGAACCTTCTCTGAAATCTGCCCAGGTTTATCGTTTCAAAATGGATTTGGATTTTGTGGTTTCACATCCACGTGTTTGTGTTTCAGTTTTTCACTGTTAACTTTATTATCTCCACAGTTAGCTACTATTTGCAGATCCATTGTTTTTCAGGTGATTAATTTTTCATGAAATAACGTGAATAGTACGTACATTAGGCAACAAAAACCTGTGAAATACAGCCGCTATAGATTAGCATAATCAGATCTGACATGATTGTGTGATACAACTGGGCTTAGTTCACATGGTACTGTTGATGACATTACAGCAATGATGTTACCCTTTACCATTTGCACAATTTGTCTCATATGAAGAAGGCTTTAAGCCCTGTGAAAAATTGCCTTTGTGCCTGGTCTTTTTCTGCTGCCTAAACCAGGGGAAATTGGGTCACATAAAAATATGAATGAAACCCAAAGAGAGCTGAATGTGTTGCCAAGGAGTCCCTGTGACATGTGGAGAGAAGAAGCAGGAGGAAGAGGAAGGAGGCTTCACATGGAGGTAGTGCTTTCAAAAGCAGGATCCTAAGTTCTATAACATATGGCGTGAGGGGCCCTTAGTCAGAGGTCAGGGCAGGGCTCTCGACTAACTTTTTTCACCATCCTCCCGGAACCGTCCCGAAATACAATCTAAGCCGTCCCGAAATTAATGTGGACCGTCCCGAATTTAAAATATTTGTTTTTCTACATTATCATTAGTTAAAATCATTCAAAGTGACCTTTAACATAAATAAAACATCATACAAATCATTAGATGATAATTCATCAACCTTTTTATTTGAGTCAATCAGTCAAACACATAAACAAAGGCCAAATATATTTTAAAAAAAACACACAAGCGAGAAAGTTGCTCTAATATTGAATCCAATCAAGTCCCATCCGATTAACAACAAAATCCAACACTCTGTCCTGAAGACAGAACCCAGAGTAACCACTAACCAGGATGACAGTCTGTAACACAGTCAGGAGACCTTTACAAACTGCCCCGCCCCCTCGCACACAGGAGAGAGCTCTCTCGTCTGGATTGGAAAGATCGAAAATAAGATCGAAAAGACGCATTTTGTAGTCTTATTGCATATTAGAAACGGAGTTGGCGAAACTAAAACTGCAATATAATGTTCATGTAGCAATAATACATATGACATATATGTTTTAAATGTCTCTACCACTGTCTTTAATAATTCCGGCCGGGGCCCGTTTAATACCGGGGCTCGGTACCCATCCCTACATGGGGAGAGGCGCAGCATATTGCTAAGCAGCGACGTGTAGTCAGTGGAGGCAGGGGAGGCAGAGCCTCACCTGTCATACTCCAATGTAACGGAAAAACAACTAAAGAAAAACGAAATAGTAATAATAATAAAATGTCTCCACTGATCTGTGTTGTAAGTGTGATTTATGTATGATTCTAATCGCTTTTTATAGTCAAAATCAGCAAATTTGACGAGCTCCGCTACGGGAGCAATGACAAGTGAGGCAGGGGCGTGCTCTGCCTCTCGTAAGCCCACAGTAACTTGCTGGAGCGCGGGCACTAATGTAGCGCGGGCACTTATTTTGTGAGTGCGCTCAAGCCAGTTACTGTGGGCTGAGGTGAGGCACAGATGAGATCTGCCTCACCTCAGAATGCGTCACCCCACAGAAACTGGCTGGTAAGCGGGCCCTAAGCGCATGCCTGTTACCATCTCACTGTAGGTCACCAATGTAATGTTTGTAGATCCCTTTATTACATTTATCCTCGCCATCCATAGTCTCTAAATAATTTATTTCACGTATATATGATATTTAGGCTCGCTGGTCTCAACGGCAATGAAAATGCACCAGGGGAGGCAGCCATAACCTCTGCCGCACTGAAGGGGGCGCACGTGAGCCCACAGGTTCTTGTTGCTACTGTAATTCTACGCAGAGACGGGAGACGCAAACAACAAACTAGACTTTTGAAACTACAGGAAGATAAGGAGGACTTTTACAAAAAAGTAATAGAGATTGTTGTCCAGAAGGATAGCATGGACTTCATCTTCAAGTCAAGGTAAGACCACATTTGTAATGAAAATGGGATCTTACTAAGAAAGAACAATCCAATATTTAGATTGTGGGTATCCTTTTGTTGAACGGTCTGTTTAAAATGAATCGAAGCATCAGACTAAAAAAGCTTTTGAAAATAACCGAATATTTCGATTAAGGTCAAAATATAATATTTGTAAATCTGACTCAGTGCCTCACCAGCCATGAACCTCACCGCACGTCACTGTTGCTAAGGACTACATGCGATGGAGAGTTCTCATCTCAGCTGCAATGACATGTCTGGAAACCCCCTCTCGGGTGCCCCATGCATAGCGCGCCGTCAAAAGCTGCTTCATAAGTTAAGTTTCGTTTCTCCGCACCGCTCCGGGGTAAAAAAATGGTAGTTACATCACAGCTGTACGGCTGGCTGACAGCTGTAGCTATACGTACTGTGTGTGTGTGTATTTCGCGGGTTGCTAAATGCTTTGTGTGTGTTTATGTTGACAAGGAGGTTTAATAACTGTGTGCTACACAAAACGTGCAGTCAGTTTCATTTTCATCGCCGTTCGTAGTAGAGTTAGCAGGGTATTTTTATTTTAACTCTCGTCCCAAATTCGTCCCAAAATTAATTTGTATCCTCCCCGACCCGATTTTTTTCGGCCCCGGGACGACGGGAGGTCCTTAAGCTCGAGCCCTGGGTCAGGGTCTCCCCTTGGATGTGATGCCCCTCACCCAGCTGGTATCTGACCCTCCGTGCAGGACAGTTTGTCATCTTGTTGCTTTACACATTTTAGAACTATTAAGACAATTCAAAGCACCAGTGTTTTATTACTTTAGTTCTTAATTTTATTCACATTTCAATTGAATTATTTAATATTTGGCATTTTGTGATGTACAAATAAAATAAACCAGCAGACAAATGACAGTAGATTGAGTCAAAACACTGTATTATTCGTACAGCCATTTTACCCAACTTTTGTTGCCAACACTAGGGGTGGGCGATACCACAAAATCTGGATTCGATCCGATACCAAGTATTTCAGGGCCAGTATCGCCGATATCGATACCGATACTTTTTTAAATGAAAAGCGTCTTATGTAGCTACTTTCATATAGGGGAGAGCTGCATGACATGATTTTTGAGCTGAAAGCATCATAGACTAAATCTGAATTCATTTTCATGAATAAAGACAGGACAGTTTTTATAGACAAATAAACGTTTTACTTTTGCAAATGTAAAGTGCAAACATGAAAAATAACAATACAAAGTGGCCAGAGTAGCGAACTGCCTTCTTGCACACATCACAGTTCACTAAGTTTTCATTGACAGTTGTAAAATAGCTCCACACAACGCTCCTCTTTCTCTCAGTCATCA